TTGCTCTTAGACTCTCCTCCTTGGGAGGCCTCTCTGCTCCTAACCCGCTGTTTGGAGTCCGGAGCGGCCGGGCTCCCACCGGGAGCTCCCCCCTCATCCCGGGCAGCTGCATCCCGGCAAGCGGTGCCGGCCGAGGCCACGCGGGAATATTGAATGACCCCATATCAGCTTCCCCCCAAACTATTTTTAATTTCGCTGCTCCGTGGTGGTTTCCCTGGCAGCCCAAGCAGGGGCAGCAGCGGCCACGGCGCCCTGCTGAGCTGCTACCACCTGGTCCTGGTGTTCCCAGAGCATCCCGCTGCACCGGCACCTCCTCCCGACCATTCGCCACGGGAAAAGGGTGCGCTTTGGGTGCCAGTCGCCTGGTTTTCTGCTCTAGCTGCCATGGGGAATTTTGCTTTCCCTAAATCCCCCRTTATTGCACATTCTTTAAGTATCTCCTTCACGTATTATGGGAAAAGTTCAATGTACCAGGGAGTTTTCCCCCTTGCTCAGTGGGGAGATCCTGTCTGTTTTCCATGCTCTGCAGGAGCCCCCATGGAAGGATGTTCTACCCGTGCATCCCTGGCATGGGCAGAGAGGCCCGTGGAAGCAGGTGGCATGTGCTGCCCACAGGGACCGCATCAGGGCAGTGATCCTGGATCCACAGAGCCCGGAGATGCCACCTTAAAATGTCCCCTAGGACGGGGCCAGCGAATGTGTCTCTTCCGAAAAACATGGGGAGGTCCTAGASGGACGTGTGGCAGAAGACCCCATTGCTTTGGCCTGTCCATGTCGGACATCTCCTGCAAGCTCTGCCCAGCGCTACCTACCAAGCTCCTTTAGACCTTCCTAGAGCACAACCGAGCTGGCCCAGTCTCCCTCATCAAAAGATCTGAGTCACCTAATTTGATTTAACCTTCCCCAGCTCCGGTATGTGTTGTTTTTAATTCCCTGAATCATTTCCTTAGAGTTTTAGCCTGTTCCCTGTACGGCCTTTTTTCCTCCCGTGCTTATGTATGGAAAGACGTAATTGAGATTTATTCCGATACAGCTCCAGCTAACGCAGCGCAGATGGCACTGAAGCACCTCCACACAAGGCGGACAAGAGGAGAACGTCTCCCGGGCACTCTTGGCACGTCCGCACCATAGGAATGAGCAGGGTGAACCAGGATCTCCTCACCACGCTTGTCCCAGGACCTGTTGTGCTCTTGGGAGCACCTTGGAGGTGAACGAGGGAAGGATGGAGATCCTCCCAATGCCAACATCATGTCCCATGGGGGAAAGAAGATGGGGAACTTAACGAAGAACATGCTGTATCCCAATTCCTCCAATGAGCAGCAGAACTCTTCCCAGGACCACATGGACCTGCTGTGGACCTGCTGTCCACAACGGAGGTCACCACCGACCGCTGCCGAGAGGCTGCTGAGCGCTCGGTTTAACCATGAGCTGTCACAGCTCGTTCAAATATAACACTCGAGGGGTTTCAAAGTTCATTAACGGCAAAATAAGCCTGAGAGTGAAATAAAAGCTATGCTGTGGGACCTGACATTTGAGAACGAAAGGGAAAATAACCTCACAAGTGCTCTTATAAGCTACTATGGGGGGGTTCTGCCAAGATTTACTCAGTCTCCGTGAGTTTCTTTTTAAAAGATTAATTTAAAAAAAAAAAAAAAAAGAGGAAAGGAGAAAGTTTATTAATCTGCTAAGAGATAATTAGCTAATGATGCAAGTGAAGTGATACCCATGTTTGGAAAAACAAGAGTTTGGTATTTTCGAATTCAGTGACWCTGCTTCTCCACAAAGTGCAGAGGAGGGATTCAGCCCAGCACTGGAGGGGACGACGGTGCTGGACATGTGGCGAGCCAGACCCTGGAGCCTGTTTTGGGTGGGTTGAAGCAGAACCCGCCGAGGGGAACACGTGTTGGCCCATCCCAACGTCGAGTGTCGAGGTCCCAGCGAGAACCGAGCACAGCAAGGCTTTCCAAAGGGCTGCTCGCTATGGCTAACCCCTCTGAAGGGCATAACGCTTAAAATCTCTATTTCCAAAGGATTTTTTTTTTTGTCAAAATATTTCAGCACTTTTGTATTCAAAAATTGCTTTTATAGTTCTTCCATTGTGTGGCTCTGTTATGACCTGAAAGCTTCTTTCCTATCAGGATCATGCAAATGAATGGAGGAAAATCTGCAGCATTGAGACCCATTTTCCAAGAAGTCAGCAAGAAGATTTTCTTGCTAACGATTCTCAAAGCAGGGAAGGAGCAATCTGCCCAATTTGCCCATTGGAACTGAAAATGTCCTTGTCTAAAACTGTTAACTGCACTTTTATATAAATCTATGACATATCAGAGAGAGATAAATGATAAAACTATCAGATGCATAATTGAATGCAAGAGATCTCTGTACTTCAAATACTCGCCCTAAGCCACAAGTCACATTTTGTTTGGTTTGGGGACTTGCTTTGTTTTGTTTTGTTAAATGCAAAGTAAATCTTGGCCAAAGCACATTGAGCTCGCACAAAATTCACTCTCTCAAAGTCTGGAYCTAAGTGGCTCGGCAAAGTCTGGCCTGGGAATATACCTGGGTGCTTTAATGGATTAATAGACAGTATTAAAAGATCGTTTTCAAGTTAAGCAAACATTTCAGAGTGTATTGTATAACATTTGCCTTAAAATTAAGTTAGTTAATCTGTACTGTATGCCAAATGATTAGTTGCTCAGTTTTCTGATGACGGTAATATATTACATACCATCAAATAATTTGTTAAAGACAATAAGATTACAAAGCTCAGGAAAAGACTGAGTCAGTCCCCGACAGATTAAAGTTCTCCCAGTCCCCAGAAAACACTTCTCTGACATATTAATTTGACCTAAACCCTCAAAATGTTCCTGATTATATCATCTCAGTCATGCTTTATTTTTGTTTTATTTTTCATTGTAGGAAATTAAAAAGGCTTGGTTGATCCGCGTCCAAGTTCTTGAAATGTGTTGCAATGCGAAGGAAATAAAAGATTACTTGAAATACTTTTTAATAATATGTCATGTCAGCAGAGATAAAAGTTTGCACTTCGTGCCCTCAGCTGGCTTCCATCAGAACTGGTTAAGGACAAAAAGTCACTCGTGGCCGTGCTCGGAGAAGGACCCGCCGTTCACCTTCGCTTTAAATCACAAGCCAATGTTGTTGTAATTACAATCACGTTGGTCAAACCTGTTTCATGTCTCTTTTTAAGTGTCTGCATAGGTAGAACGGGTCCTGCCACGGGGCTGGGCCAGGAGAGGAGCTCCAGGTCTCTTCCACCATCTCAATGCCTGGGGATTTCTGGCCACAGCAGAGCTAAACCCCTCTGGAAAAGCCCTCCTGCACCACGGACCTGGCTCCCATCCCCATCCCCATCCCCACACAGGCGGGTGCTTCCGCGCATCCCCAAAACTGGGGGAAATCAGCTCAGAAGGGTTGGGGGCTTTGCAAGGGCACGTTGGGTGGAGAGAGGAAGGGCTGAGTTGGCCTCGTGGTAGCAAGACAGGTAATTGTGAGGGCAGCTTGGCCCGGGGGCGCCTGGCATGGGGCGAGGACGGTTGGCTCAGGGAGGAAGCAGGAGCAGAGGGGGATCAGCACCTTGTTCTCTTTGCGCGCCAGGGTAGCAGGGTCTGTGCTCTCTCCCCCCTGCACGTATCAGCAGGTAACGCACATGGAGAGCAAACCCCGGGGAAGTCGATCCACATATTCCTCCTTACGGCTTCTCTGCACCTGCCCGGCTGCACACGGACCCCGACAAGTGTTGCCGAAAAGGTTTCACATTTAAATAAAGCCCTGAAGCTGTGGAAGTGCTTGGGAAGGCGGCAGAGAGCGGAGCCTTGGCTGTCCCGGGCCTTTCAGCCCCGTTTCCTTGGCTCTGTCCTGGCAGGGCTTCGAGGAGCCGCTGGCGGGCCAGGAGGCAGGTCTGGAGYATCCCATGGAGCCGGATGCTCCCCGGAGCCTGGCAGCCAGGAGCAGCCTGTGTCCGGCCGGGAGCCATCCCGGTGGGAAGCGCCCATCTCCCATCCCCTGCCCACAGGGAAATTTTCCTTTTTGATGCTTTTCCTCCCTTCTTCTCATCCTTCTTCCAGTTGTTTAACTGCCTATCCTGGCAGCCCAGGTCCCCCTTGGGATGGGGAGATTCCCAATAGGACCCACCAGACCTCCCCATGCACCTGCCCATGGTCGCGGCTGGAGCTGAGCGGAAAACCCAGCATTTTGCCCCTAATTCACTGTAGCGGCAGCTGCAGGGCCGCACTGCAAAGCAGAGCCTGGGAAACATCCCTGGGGCAAGGCCGGAGCAGCCGGACACGGGCAGAGCCTCCATCCCGGAGCAAAGCGGGAGGCCAAACCTGACGGGGACCAAACCGGGCAGCCCCGCTCGGTGCTGCCGCCCAGGGGGACACCCGGCCCTGGGGCCTTGAGCCTTGAGCGAGACATGCTTCTTCTTTGCTTCTTTTCCTTTCTTTCTTTCTCCCTCTCTCTCTCTCCCCCTATTTTTTGGGCTCTTTTTTCCTTTTTTAATTTTTTTCCTCTCTCTCTTTTTAACTATTTTTTTCTTTCTTTCTTTTTTTTTCCCGGTTCTGGTTAAACGTTATTTGCACTTTTGTCGGGAAAGTGGCCCCTAGCGTGCAATTATGTCAAATTTCTTTGAGTTTTACAATTTAATGGAGAACAGTAACTCTTTTATTGATCCTAGACGGGGCCGGCTCCTCTTCCTCCCCCCCTCCAGATCCCCCCGCTCCCTTTCCCCTCCCCTCCGCCCCCSCCTTGCAGCCCTAAGAAATGTCACTCCCGGTTCCTTCTGCTCCCGTCGCTTTCCAAAACAAACAGCGGAGGCTGCGGCCGCCTCTCGGCTCGGCCGGCGGCGAGCGGCGCTCGCTGCCCCCCTCGACGGGAGCGGCGCGGCCGGGGCCGCTGCCCGCGGATGGAGCCGCCGCGCGGAGCCCCGACGGCCGCGTGAGCCCCGCGGCGGCCGCGCGGCCCGGGGGGGCGGCCGGCGGGGGATGGCGCTCAGCCCCCGCGCTCACGCCTTCTCCGTGGAGGCGCTCGTGGGCAGAGCGGCCAAGAGGAAGGGGTCCGACGGCCCCGACGAGGAGCCCGACGGCGGCCAGAGCCGCCCGGCGCAGGACGCGGGTTGGTAGCGACCCGACGGCGGGGCCCGGCGCGCGGCCCCCCCGCCCGAGCCGCCCCGTCCGTGTCCCCGCAGAGAAGCGGCCCAAGGCGGCGGAGAGCCGGGAGGCGGGCGGCGAGGTGCAGGTGGAGCTGCAGGGCGCCGAGCTCTGGCGGAGGTTCCACGACATCGGCACCGAGATGATCATCACCAAGGCGGGCAGGTAGCGGCGCCCGCGGCCGCGGCTCCTCCGCCCGCACCGCGGCCCCGGCCGACTCCGGCCCTGCCCCTTCCCTGCGAACCGGCTCCCACGTTCCTCGTCCTTGATCCTTTTTACTTCACTGGCGTTACTGACGTTGTGGCTTTGATCGTTCGTATTGTTTTGAGGGAGGGAGCTTTCCTTCCCCCCCC